ACAGAACTTGTTAGAGGAATGTGTCCCTTTTCTAAGGCCGCTTGTGTCTGGGGGAGCTGTATTTCACATAAATTCAGCCACTAAAGGACAAACATACACATCACCAACATTACAATTTTAATATAAACTGAAGCAAGGTCACGAGTCACCCAGCAGGTAATGAACCGATACAAAAGCTGCTTTCAGGAAGCAGCAACTCAAGGCTCCCCTCTTAAGTCCTTACTTGAACAAAACCCCTCTGAAATCAGTGAGGGCCTCATGTAACTGCAGCAGCAGAACCATGCACAGCAAAATGAGAGACCAGATTTACAAACCCACATCGCTCATCTTTCTCCACTCAGTGCAAGAGTATTTGATCCATCCACAACCATTTTTTTCCTATCTCAGCTGCAGCTAAAGCACAGACTACAGTCACATATGCACTGACTGCTCAATCTATACCAACTGGCAACAACCCAAAAGCCCCATAAAAAGCCATATGACCATATCCCTCCTCTATCTCCACCACACAGGCACAAGGATAAAACATAATTTACCAACAGGTCAGTTTTATCCTTGAGGAAGGCTCCATATCCCGAGATTAGAAAATCCTCCACTGGTCAAACACAGCCAACATCTAATCATCCTGTCCTAACTAAGCAAGACAAAGAGAACATAGGGCAATAAATTAACCAACTAAAAAAAAAAAGAAAAAGAGGGGGAGAGACTTGTTTCCAAAGCATTAAATCATCTCTTACAGTAGTTCAAACATTAGCAGTCAACGTTCTTTCAAGGCACTGCCAGGTTTTTTTCCCCACTATAAACTATACCTGATACAAGTATGTTACTCAGCAATAAATAATTTGCTCTGAATTTTCCTTGGAAGCAATCTCTGTCATTTTCTTGCCTTGCTGCATTTAGAACAACAGAGTGAAAAATACTTTTTATTATTATGGTATCAAGAGATTCCAGTCAAATCTGAACTACTCTTCCCAAGCTTGTATCACAGCACACATTACCTTTACCAAAGAGCTCGCAAAACAAGACATAACCAACAGGCATGGTTAAAAAAAGAACAGAAGAGAACAACAAAGTGGCAGAACTACACGCTCCTGTGTTCAAATCTTGGTCACAACATCCACGTTTCAGAAAGTGTTTACCCTTGGACCACAATTACCTCACCTACAATGTTACTAGCATAATTTCTTTTGAGAAACTTTATGCACAGATAGGTTTTTGGCTTTAAACATTAACTCTGAAAGTGCATAGTACCTATGAGGAAAGGAAAAAATGCAAGTACATGGGAAGCAGACACAGTGGATGGTAAAATTCAGTAAGAAATAAAACAATGAGCAGGAACAGAAAGAGCTGTGAAAGGCCTCAGGATAACAGAAACTTGAATTCAACTCAACGAGAGATAAAGACAACTAAGACACCTATGAGGGATAAAGACAACTAAGACACCTACGACGGATAAAGACAACTAAGACACCTACGAGGGATAAAGACAACTAAGACACCTACGAGGGATAAAGACAACTAAGACACCCGTAGAAAGCTAACACAGAGAGCACGGCATGCGAGGAAATATCATCAGTACCAGCACTTTGAAAAGGAGATGGACATAATAAAAGTCAGAAGGGCAGGCAATAGTAATCCAGTGAGAAGTTAAAAGTCTGGATAAACTTTAATAGCAAGGAGAGGCAAAGATCCCAAATCCCAAGGTTTTTATAAGGACTGTCTACATGAATTTAGGAAGTTCAGGTGATTCCCAGACTACGAGAATAAGCAACTAGGACACCCACAAGATCAATGGCACCAACAATTTAACTCTAGAGTGTCTCTGAAGCAAGGATGCCTAAATTGTAATCTACTTTTCCCATTATTTTAGCATCTGTCAGATGTCTCTGGAGCAGCTCAGGTGTGCACAAAGGACCAGGCTGCAAGTTAGATGGATTATCCCAGTGGGGGCAACTGACAGCTGGTCCAATACGCAAAGAGAGAGGGCAATCAGGCGAGCAGAAATATCAGTTGATAACGCAAGGAAAGAGAACCATGTGCCTTGCCAAAAATGTGAGCATCATTTTTACATTTGCTGCAACAAAATCGAGATGTTGCGATCAGGGCCTCTCATTGTGCTACTCGAATCCACAAAAAATACAGTCAGAAAAAATCAGAAAACCAAAAAGTAAAAAGAACAGCAGCAACGTGATTCAACTGTCAGTCAACGTGCACAAAATCGTGTCAAATCAATAATTATCATGGGTTTGAGTTGGCTGGTTCTGCTTTCATCCTTCTCTTTAGGTGCTGCAACCACTCCTCTGAGCACAGGCACCAGCAGCTCAGCAGTACTTAGATGGTTATTCAAGCATTTCACTATATCAAACTGCATACATCAAGGCCATGCATGAACCAGACACGTCCCAGCTTTTAAAAATGCATACAGCTAAACCAGCAGAAACACATGTGTAGATGCACATAAATTATTTAACTCCCAGCTGGTCACTTTAGGTTTCTTTAATAATTTACAACACAATCTAAACGAATTTAACTGAGGGGTCATCCAGTCTGAGATGACAGTATGATAGGGCATAACTAGACAGATGAAGCCAATGAAATTTGCCAGCATCGTTATAATCTGAACCTGTCCAACTGCAGAACGAAGGGAATGACCCGGCTGGATGCTGAAGGCCATGGGTGCTGAAGGTTCCGGCACCTCTTGGATGCTGAGCAGCATCCTACTGAATCACGTCTCAAATAAAAGAACAAGTTTCTGTACGTATCCAGACACTCCCAAAATACATACAGAGCATATTCCCAACCGCAAACCATAAAAACTGATGCACTTCAGTGAGCCTGCAAAGGCTCTTCACACAGCTGCTGAAGGGCTGGATGGTGCGGGATCATAGCATGAACAGTGCCAGACTTCCGAGAGGATGAGCCAGACCCCATCCTGCCGGGAGGGCGCGAAAGCACCTACCACGGCAGCAGCGTTGCATTGAAAGGGTTGTTCTTGAAGGCAGAGGAGAGCTGCACGCGAGTAGAAGACAGCAAGAAGGAAAAGGTGGCGGAGATTTGCTAAATGGGGGCTTTTCCACCTTATTTCCACTGACAAGCTCCAGCACACCCCACGGCGCGCAGCCTGGAGCCGCCACCCGCCATCCCGCAGCCCCTAAACCCGGGAAAGGGGGGAAATCGGCTGCCTCCGTGGAAACCGTCCCGAGTTAGTCGGGACCTCCATCGGTGTCTTACCGCCCCGGTCGTGTCCATCTCGTCCGGGAAGCGAAAAATGAGCGGGGGGAGATGGGCATCGGGCGCCGGCAGCTCTGCCGGGCGGCAGAGGGCGAGAGAGACGGGGACGAAGGGGAGGGAGGGACGGAGAGCGCCGGTCTGGGAAGCTGCGCGGCGCCCGGGGCATCGCGGCGGGGCTGCGGAGGGAAGGAAGAGGCGCAGGAAACTGCAAACTCCGCCGAACGCCCTCGGGATCCCGGCGAGAGGGGAGGAGCAGGAGAAAGGGCTGAAAGAGGGGTCTCCCCCGGGCGCCCCAGCCGGAGAGGAAGGGGGCGCAACGCCGCTCTGCCCCAGACCCCCGCGGGCACCCCCGGGCAGAGGGCGAAGGCAGGAGGCGGCAGCAAGTCCCGGGGAGGAGCGGCCGGCGCTGCCCGCACCGCCACGCAGGTGCACGGGAGCGCAGAGGGGTGCGGGCGGGCAGATGGCGGACCAGGACGGCCCCCAGCCTCCCGCCTGCGACACCGCAGAGACCCGCGGCGAGGGGAAGCGCCTCCGCCGAACTCCCGCTCCGGAGGATGCGGAGAGACGCCCGTCCCTGGACCCTGCGGAGCCGAGCCGGCGGTCCGCGGGGGCGCAGGGCGCGCAGGCGGAGCGGGACGCGCTGACCGCCGCTGCCGAGCTCACCTGTGCGCGGCGCTCCGGCGCGGCGGACCCGCGGGTCGCGGGGGCTGTGCAGACTCTGCCGGGGCTCTCGCTCCCTTCCCCGCCCGCCCCCCGCGTCAGCGGCGCGCCCGGACCCGGCGACCGCCCCCCGCCCCGGGCGCCATGGAGCGCGCGGAGCCGGCACCGCCCACCCGCCGGCACCGCGGGCAGCCAATGGGCGCCGCCGCGGATGGCGCCGCTCATTGGCTGGGCGGCCTGTCGCTCTCCTCGGCCGCGGCTATAAATGGCACTGTCTCGCAAGCCCTCTTCAGCAGCTGCGGCGGGAGCTGGGTGGGGGCGTGTTCGCGGCGCGGCGCTTTCCGCAGCGCGTCCCCTTTTTAGGTTGTGCTTTTGGGGGTGTATGGTTTCGGGAGAGCCCCAGGAAAGGCTTGGCGGCGCCAGCACTTGGGCGCTCGTTCCCTGTGGTCAGCTGCAGGAGGTGCATCCTGAACTTGTCTCTCCTGAGGGCCGACCCCTGGCCTGCTGTGTGAGGGTTTCTCCCTCTGCCCGTCAGTGCCACACGAATGACGTGTCTCGGTGCCCCGTATGACCCGCTTGCTCACAAGTGACAAGAAGTCATAGTCGTGAATTTCACGTTTGAGTTCACACCGTGCTAATAAACGCCTCCTAGAGCTGTTTGAAATAAAGAGCAGCTTGTTGCTTCACACCAGTAAATGAATCCTCTGTGCTTTGTCCCGTTGTGGGGAGGGTGTTCTCCTGGCAGTGGTTTATGGGCCGCCCACGAAGTGGTTACACAGGTACAGCTTTGGGGGTGTGAGAGTGAACTCAGTTTCCTCCAGAGGTTCCTTAAGTGCGACCAGTGAGAAAGTCGGGGCAGCTTTGCTCTATGGGTTGATTATTTAGAGTTGTGATATTTCTGTTCTGCAAGTAATCCCCTATCTTCAGTGGTTGCTTTCATGTGTTCCTGGAATTCCATGCATCTTTTAGGGTCTGAAAACTCCCATTAAAATCAAACGGCACCCTCAGCACAGGGTAGGATCCGATCTACCTCACAGGAGCTGTGCTCTTGTCACATGGTGCTAACTGGTTGGCAGTGTTCAATCCTTCTGACAGATTTAATTGTTTCCCCTTTTCTTCTGGTCTTCCACCTAATTCAGATAAAGCCCATAGTACACATTTTCACTCTCCATAGAATTATAGAATCATAGAATGGTTTGGGTTAGGAGGAACCTTAGAGACCATTTAATTCCAATCCCCCTGCCATGGACAGGGACACCTTTCACTAGACCAGATTGCTCAGAGTTCCAACCAGCCTGCCTTGAACACCTGCACAGATGGGGCATCCACAACTTCTCTGGGAAACCGTGGATATTTACTCTCCATTAAGGCTATTATGCTAGATATAGTGGGATAGTTCCCCACTAGAACTTTAGAAACTGTGGAAAAATCTTACTAGTTATTCTGTCTGAAGAGTGACATTTAACAAGACTCCATATGCTTTCATTTTTTCTTACCAATGCTTCAACACATTACAGTAGCTTTACACATTCGGGTGCCTGCACAGTAGCCCCTCAGTGATTTTGTTGTCTTTCTCAAAGATCACGAAGAGGGGCTGGTGGCAACTCAGGCAGAGCGCAAAAAAGAAGCTCAGGAAAAGTTTGCAAGGTCTTGATACTCAGGCTGTTCTGTGATTTTTTTCATTGAGTGATGAGAATTCATTATACAAATGTGTGCTTCAATCCCCCCTTTTGCAAAGAAGTGGAATGGAGTGGATTTTTTATTGAAAAACATATTCAGCACAATAACTTTCAAACAAAACTTAGAGCATGCACATCCTCATCCACACAGACACATCTATAGCAGAATTTTCTGTAGAAATCCCAACAAGCTAAAAATATTAAAGGCACTATTGTTTGCATCTAATAGATTAGTGTTGCTTAGGGATATGAATTTTTGCATTTCTGTGCTGGAAAAAAATCCTGGCAGAGAAATTTTCACATAAAAGTTCTTTTGTTGGGAGAGCTTAGTCTGCTGAAGAAAAGACTGGGTTACAAGATGAGTATAATGACAGTTATTTCACGAGAACTATCTGAGCCTTCATACTTTTTGTCCTTTCACTGATTGAATGTTTGCATTAGGAGGGTTTACCGACTGCAGCTTGACAGTAT